TAAATAAGTTTCGTAAGGGGAGCGGAAGTCACGTATCGAAAGAAAAGAAAGCGTTTCTCTTCATCGAGGAATGATTTAGACCGTTTTAGACCATTTTTCTGTAACTCGTTGATTTTTTTTTTTTTTTAGAGAAAAGAGAATATAAATGAAAATGGTAAATAAGTTTCGTAAGGGGAGCGGAAGTCACGTATCGAAGGAAACGAAAGCTGTAACTCTCGTTGGATATTTCGGAATGAAGACTATCGCGTTTAAAAATTTGTACGCGTGTCTTTCTGATTCTTCAATCGCTTCTCGTTGTTACATTAATGTAAAATTATAAATTGAACTTGCTAAATTGTTTCGAGACGCACGAGCCTGATTCTTTTTCGTAATTTATAAATTGAATATTGCTCTGAATTCTCCGCGATGCAATTTATGGATCGGCTGAGGCGAGCTTACATTGTTAAAAAAAAAAACGCATTTTTCCGCGGTTCGCTTACGTCCTACAGGATCGCAAGGTCGGAATGCGATCGTGAGGAGAGAAACGATACGCATAAATAAGATGTAATGCGCTATGACACATGCACCTTGACGGTTGCAGGGGCGACGAGAGAGGCAGCGGGATTATCGCGATTCCAGAGTCTCGAAAAATTTGTTTCCTCAGAGAAATGATCGTTTCCTTTTGCCACGTGCGTCGGACAAGTATTAAATGTCGATTTATTGATCGATCTCCTTATTGGCTTACTTCATATCGTAACATTTATTAAGAATAGGCGTACTTTTTTCTCTTTCCCATTAAAATCTAAGCTCTTCCTATGGACGATCCTGCGTAGATTCGTTACGTTTAACGCCCCGCTCGTGGTACTGGTGGAAGTGGTGGGACATCGTGGGATACTCGCGCGTGGCTCGAGGTGAGACGCGGGTCAGGTTAGGTTAAGTTAGAACTCGGCCGTTCGCTCCGCCAATAACGCGGGTCGCTTGGGTGTGGTTATTAGTGCCGTGGGACCGTCACCGTCCAGGTAGTGATTGTGTTTCATGAGATATTTGTAGTTTACGTTGCGCACCCAGACGGCCGGACGACTGGTGTCTCGTCTGACTTTCGCGTTAAACGTCACGGGAGCCACGCGGAGCGGCGACATGAAGAAGAGGAGCCTGTCCGGCAACGTCGGCGTCGGCGTGTTCCTGGTGGGATTCGTCTGCGTGTGCGTCGCGTTCGGCACGCCCTCCTGGTTGGTCAGCGACCCGCGGATCGTCGGGGCGCAGCTCGACCGACTCGGCCTGTGGCGGCACTGCTTCAGGTCGCTGCCCAATCCCCAGGAGTCCGACGCGCCCAGGCGATTCTTCGTCGGCTGCAGATGGGTCTACGACCCGTTCACCGCGGGCTACTCCGAGATCCGTGGCTTCCTCTTGCCCCGTAAGTGTGGCCACGTAACAACGAGACGAGGAAAACTATATGTCCTTAACGTAAAGCTGCAAATCTGTAATTTTTCCTCCGGATGTTTAAAAAGAGAGATTTGCTACTATGAGGAATAATAAAGTGCCTTGAACCGTCGTTGAATTGAAACCTGTTGGCGGCGTGATGATAATAAACTCTAACAAGAACCTTCAATGTGCGTTTAACATGATGTCTCTTGTTGCAGCATTTATGATAGCCACGCAAGTGTTCTTCACGCTATGCTTCCTGCTGGGTCTGATATCGTTCTTTCTGATACTGCTCTTCACTCTGTGCTGGGACCCAGAGCGAAAGAGATATATCGAGCTGATAACTGCCATCGGTTACTTGCTGCTGGCCAGCGGTCTCAGTGGTGGTCTGGCGGTCATCATATTCGCCTGCCTTGGTAACGCGGACGGTTGGATGCCCGGACACGCGAATAATTATCTAGGATGGTCCTTCGCCCTAGGTGTCATAGGCAGCGTATTGACGCTGATCGCGAGCGGCTTACTGCTGGTGGAAGCAACCGTGCAACGAAAGAAACGGGACTACTTGAAAGAATCTCAAACGCGCTTTCAACTCGAATCTCGCGCTTAGAACCGAGAACCCTTCACAGGAATTGCGCACAAGCGTCTATACTCAAAAGTCTGTAGTATCATTCCGTCCATGAGGTGCAACACGTCTTATCGTAGAATTTTTCTCTTTCTGTAGAATGTACAAAAGAAAAAACAAGCAAACAGATCTGCAATAATTTAAGTTTAGAAAATACGTAAGTTTAATATTTTTGTACGATATTTTATATCTCTCTTTATATAACATTACGTATATGGGATCGTAGTATTGTACGATAATATTATTGTTAACGATATATATGTATGCGACGACATATACGCGTCTTAAAACACTTGCGGAAAAATTCGCAAATTAGATAATATGAAAAAGACACACGATTCTTTTCTCGACCAATCGTGGACCGCGATGAGAAGAGTCGTCTATAGTTACGTGAATAATTGCGCAGGTACTTTAATTGCGCTCGGATGCGACGCCGTTTGTTGAATCTTATCCTATACTCTTTCAACAAATATTTTATTGTAATTTACAGCTTTAACTTGTTGGACTTTATAGTAGAGACGTGGTCATTTTTATGATTTACGTGGCTTTTTCATGAATTTTTTGGTGTTTTGAGACGCGAGTTATTGAAACATCTTGTATATTGTATCTATATATCTACATATATATATATTATATTATTAAGTTTTACGCACGAGATTTACGATAATCGCACAACGCAGCTACGAATTTTCCAACGACATGTCTGAGGAAATCCGAACGAGATTAATCGGACATTAGGAAAAAACTTTCTAACTCTGTCCGTTACCAAATAAACTTCTAATACAAGAAACTGTGTTTTCTACATCTTCAATCTCACTTAAGTTTAGAATTCAAATAAATTGCATCTCTCGACAGATAAAATTGTAAATTTAAACCATAATGTGCGCTGACGTGCGCCCACTAATAGAAAACAGGCTGAAAAGTCCTGAATCATTTTTCTTGGATGCTTAACGAAGGAGTTATTATTAATTAAGTCCCCCCAATCAGTGTTCTTTGTATATTCATGATCTACGCAACTACAAATAAAGAAATAAGAATGCACACATGGAGGATGGCCTACATTATCAATAGACGGCAAAGCTCCGTCTGTTGATAAAGTACGTCTTTCCGTTGGTAGAATTGATAGCGATGGTGTGGGACGGGGACCATTGGGTGTGTTGGGTGTGGCGAAAGGTCTCGACGGAGAGCTTGGGTGACGAACGAAAACATTAAATCGTAAACGAACGAATTAAACAAGTCGGTCGGTTTCGCGTTTGGCCTTTTCAAAAGGTCATCATGACGGTGGACAAGCAAGATTATCACAGGGCGTCCAGTGAGTAACTGATTAGGTCGATCAGCTAAGAGTTTACCCGGAGTAACCTGTACTAACGCGTTCTTCATTTTTTATTGATACAGACGCGGTCGTTTTTGGCGGAGGGCTCACGTTCGCGGCGCTTTTTCTCCTAATGATGGCATTCATAAGGTAAACGCATTTATTTCCGTGCAACACTGCTACGAGCAACGACCTCAACATTAAATTTGGAGCGTGTGAAAACAATGTTACTGATCCTCCGTAATAATTTCCAGTCCGTATTGGATAGAATCGTATCAGGAAACGTTCAGCAACTTCAAGCACATGGGACTCTGGGAATATTGCTTCGAGCAGTTCCGCTATCCGTACTATCAGTTTGACAAGCAGTTCGACGGCTGCCATCATATATTTTCGCAAGAATATTATGTCATAAGAGAGTGGCTGCTGCCGGTGTGGCTCATGGTAGTACAGGCATTCGTCACGCTGGCCATGTTGCTCTCCGTCTTTGCATTTGGCGTCATCTCCTTGATCTGGATACGTTGGCCATTGAGATTCGTCCTGCATTACGAGTGGATCCTGTCGTCCGTCGCATTCGTATGCGACGCAGTAGCCGGTAAGTGTAAGAATTAAAGTTTAAAGCGGACGATGCCAAATGGTCTTTAACCCGGATGCTCTTTGATTTCAGGCGCGCTTCTCTTCCTGGCAGTCTCCATATTCGGCGGACAGTGTTGGCGCCGGGACTGGTTAATGTATCCGAATTTCAATCACTTGTCGTGGTCGTACGCTCTCGCGGTCATATCGTTCATGATCCACACGTTCGCCGCGTTCTTTCTTTATCTAGACGCGCGGACTGGTTACAGATTGCGCAAAGAATCTCGCAACTTGGTGATGCAAATGCAACCGAATCCACAGTCTCATCACGGGCCGCCGCGAAGCGGATACGTATAATGTAATATCAAATCTCGGGTGCTTTTGATGAAAAATTTAATCTCAGCGCAAAGCTCTCATCGTTATTTTTAATGAACGAAAGATAGATCTGTCTCTTAAAAGAGTGTGTACACTGCCTGTGTACGATTTTAATCCGTCCATTTATATTTGTTCATTAAAAATAGTGGTAAGAACTTTATATATATATATGCTCTTACCGTTATTTTTAATGAATAGCTCCGTGTGAGAGCGGTCGACCGTAGTCGGCAGGTTCCGGATTCAACCCCGATCCTCATTCCATATATGCCTCAGTTTTAAGAAGCATATATTAAGAGAGTTTGATTAGAGAGTTGAAGGTTACAAGTGTGAAAGAGTATGACACAAGAATAATAACTCGTTTGAAATGGAAATCCATTAACATTTATATTATTTAATTTAATCATTTAAGAAGGTTAAACGTGTGTTTAAGATTGTCGCCCTCTCTCTAATTACAACGATTACTTACATTCGATTTTCTCGAAGCTAATTTTGCTTATGCGTGAATAATCTCCGTCCATTGTTTTACTCACGCATGCACATGATTTTTTTTTATATCACGATTTTTATATATATATTTTATAAATATTATATAAAGTGTATAATAGGATTACATCATTTGACTTACAAATATATAGGAAATTAATGAACGAAGAAATATTCATTTTCGTGAACAAAAAAGACAATTACTGCAGAAATGTTTACTTACCCGGAACGTTCGCTTGCGACGCAACGTCGAGCACGCAGCGCATGGTGTCCAACTCGAGATCTGCGTCGAGAACGATGAGACTTGCTTCTTCGAGATACGATTGATATTCCTTTATCAACTTCGGAGCGATCGCGGTGAGGGATTCTATTTCGCTGACGCAGAAGTGGCATTCGCCATTAACGTCCAATACCACGGTCACCCTGTAATATTAACAGTATATAATCAGTTCAATACGAACGGATTTGCTAATATTCGGATATCCGGACAATCAATTCGTCAAGTTACTCAAATTCGAATATTCGAATTATTCGGACAATTCAAATCTTATTGTTAGTATCTGAAGAGACAGAAAAACAATATATTGGAATTCGAATTATCCTTTCCATTATAGAGAATAAAATAGCAAACTAATTGCTAATTAGATAATTAGACCGTGTTTAGCTATTTCTGTTTATTCCCAGGTTCCCTTAACTGAAAGCGTTCCACACAGCCAAAAATATCGTTATCATTATCCATAAGAAGCTGTCTATTATAAGCATATCATTATTTATAAGTTCATAGATTCGGGTAATTAGACGATAATTTGAGATAATTTGAATATTACACTGTCCGAATATTTGTAGCCTTGTTAGATATTTTTCGTCGGGACTATTGGGCAAGTTTCTTGGAATATTCGTCAACGAAGCGGCAAGTTTCGCGACTCGTACCTCGCGGTGTTCACGTCCGACATGCGTTTCACCGTCTCGCTTCCGGCTCCTAGGCTCTCGAGAATGATCTTTCCATCCTCGTCGTCGCCAACGACGGATATCAGACGCGTGTTCTTCAAGCCGAGCTTGAGCAACGCGTCGGCGACGTTCCGACCAACCCCGCCGCAGCTGCGTCTGCTTCGCCCGGTGTGCGTTCTACCGTCATTCTGGAAATGAATCGCTCCCTTCAGGATCAATTGGAATTTACATTCGAATTCCGCTGGTCGCGATTAAACGATTTTTTCACGCGGCGAAGAAGAAGAGGGACAAAAATAAAAGCGATACATAAATTAGAACCATAAAAGTCCTCTTGAAGAGGACGCATTGTAGAAAAAGCGAATCTAGCAAAAAGCCTAGCCCTCAGCTGCACCCTAAGGGGTGTTTACTTTCCGCACCCGCTTTTCCCTTTTGTAGATTCAATAACACGTCGGCGTTCGCTCCAGGGTACAGCCGAGAGCGGATACTTAAGAGAAACACGTCAAGACCCACCCCCCTGTGATATTCAAGTCGGTATATAGCGTTTACCTCTTTCGTCCTCCTCACCCCATCCCTATATCTTTGATACACGGTATAGCCGGTGCCTACGTATCTCCATTCTATACTCTCTCTCTTTCCCTCTCTCCGTCTTTCGCACTTGTACCACATCCGGTGGTAACATACGGCTGGACATTTTTATCTCTCCACCTCTTTCCTTCCACCTCAGCTCTATTTCTACGTGTTCAGCGCTGTGCTTGGGGCTGCGCGCACCCTTTCACGAACGAGATCTTATCGGTCAGACCTATTTATCGCGACGACACGGTACTCCATTTCGATTTCACAAATAAGACCAATCCTATCTACCCTTCTGTGACGTGAAATAGTGATATTGGAATACGAGTTTATCCCCCTGTTGACGACGCTTGACCGGCGGTCGCTGGTGGATCGAAGCGGAGCCCACTTCGCCCACTTCCAATCGTCCGCCCTTGCCTTTACTCCCTTCGCGTGTCTTCCCTCTATCTATCAGTCTGTCTTGCGAGCGGCGGCGACGACGGTGGCAGAGCCTCCTCGATCCTCGAGCCAGTCCGGTTGCCTATTCTCGGGCGCTGTTCACGGTGACCACCCCCGCCGTCCACGTACCCCCAGGTGCCGCGTGTTCTCCGTCACCGACAGGCTAAACAGAGAGAAAGAGGGAGAGACGAGAAGGAGAGACCGCAAGAGATAGACAAGATAGATAGGTAAAGCGAGCCGCGCGTGTCCGCCTGGAACGTCATCCCATGCGTCGGACGCGCGGGGCGAGAAGCGTCGGGCGTTGTGGCCGCGGCGTCGCGACGACGACGACGACGACGACGACGCTCGGTCGCGCGCACGAGCTCTCGACTCTGCGTGATCCGTGGCAGTGAGAGGCAGCGCGTCGCGTCGCGTCGCGCCGCTCCACAAAGCGTTGTACGAACGACATGCGCTACGGCTGGCGACGGCCTTGTCAAGTGTCGACTGTGAACAGGAAGACGGGGACGAGGCTGAGGCCGAGGCCGAGGACGAGAGCGAGGACGTCGACGGCGTCGAGAGCCAGGACCACGGGAACGGGGGTAACGCCGGTGACGAGAAAGCCGAGGACGAAGTGCTGGTGAAGAGATATCTACAATACAAGAGCACGAGAGAGACGCATGACGAGGAAACGCGGGCGACTGGCATGAACGACGACGTGGACGACGTTGCCGAGGAGGACTCTCGCGGCGATGCCCGTGAAGGAAGCACCACGACGACGACGAAGACGACGACGACGACCGCGTTCCTCGTGCACCCCCCGACCGTCCTACGGTCGGCCCGACTGACGACACCCGGCTGCAGCGATTCCGCAGCGGTCCCGGCGAGCGAGATCGCGCCTCCGCAATCCGCGTGCACGTAGACTCTGCCGATCGGCGTCGCGAGATTTGCGTCGTAGAAGAACGCGCGATTACCGAGGCTATCCACCGAGGAAGATCTCTCGCTTCTCGAGCGTTTCGCTGTCTGTGCGAAAGTAGTCGGGAACGAAGAGAAGTCGGATCTCTCCGTTGAACGGGATTGCTCTCCTCGAAAGAAAGGACTCTTTTTTTTCTTCCCGAGGATCTTCCTTGAAGAAAAGGATTCTTCCTCAAGGACGAGATTACGAGGACCGAGATCTTGCTTCGCAAGATAAAGAACGCTCCTTGACATCGTGTGTGCCTTTCGTCCGGAGGACGTCTTACGCAGAGGTATCTAATGGATCGAATAAGCCGGGTCAGCGCGAACGGTGTCGTCCTTTCGGCAATTGTGTTCCTCCTCCTTCTCCTCCTTCCTCGTCGGAGAGATCGTTCGCTATTGCATCAAAAGAAATCTGGTGGCATCGGGACGTGTCGCTCGAAGAGAGCGATTTCAGCGATTTGAAACGTATCCAAGCATTCTGAGGGTGTCACGCGTCGCGTCCACGCTGTCCCGACCGACGAACAGGCTTACGATCGGCCCGATCCGATCGTGCGGTCGGCGGAGCCCGTGAAACCGAGTTCGCGTGACGCGTAACGGCGTGCGGCATTCCTCCCCCTCCGCGCGTTGCATGCGGCGAAAATAGGACGAAGCGTAACGAGTGACGATAAATTCCTTCGGGAAGGTCGGGAGGAAGATTGCATAACGCGACGTTCCCTCCCCTGCCATCCATTGCCACCTTTCAGCCCTCCTTTCCCCTTCTCTTGCACGCGCGAGCGCGCACGCCCGCTCGTCGTTTCCTCGTCGTCCTTTTTCTCCCTCTAGCTTTTCGCGCCTCTTCTTCGGGGAGATATGTCACCTCGTATCGATATCTAATTAAAGACTGTCCAACAATTTTTTTTATCGCGCCTCCATCCTGCTGAGTAAGGCGTATGGGTTGCTTCGTCTCTCCTCGTTCCACGTTCCGGCATCCGGCGTCGGGAAAGGATCGCACGCGGTGCATCGTCGCGCGACATCGATCCGCGCCTCTTCTCTCTCACTCTCTCTCTCTGTTTCTCTCTCCTTTTTTTCCCTCCGCGGGATTATGTAAAGCAGGCAGTACTGGACGCCGGCCAGGACATTGACTGTTCGTCTTCGTGACGCTGGAAATTGTTTCTCCGTTAGGACGAAAAGAGGTAACCGCGCTCTGTCAATGTCTCTCTCTCTTTCTCTCTCCTTCCCTTATCTTCTCCCATACACGTCCCTCGCTTGTGTCGTGTGTCGGTGTAGAGCGCGCGTTAACGCGCAGGGTTTAAACGATCGATGGGCCCTTACCGCTCTCTCACTCTCTTCCGTATTTTCATTACAATGCGCCACTCGCATATACTCGTGGCAGCGGTTTGCTGCCTGCCTCTGCTTGTCCGCATGCATGCATGCTTGCATGCAAAGCGAGTGCCGATGCACGGAAACGGGAGCACGCTTTGGCGCATCGCCCTGACCGAACCGATGTCGCGGCGATGCATGTCCGTGTTCGCGACCCTGAAGATAATCTCGGGATGATCCGTGTGTACTCGTAGATAATCTTTGCCGAGATCTATCATTTTGGACATAATACGAAGCGATTTTCCGCTTCCTCCTTTGTACTTTGCTTCCTATTCCGTAAACCGTTTCTCCGGCATTTCACCCGTTTGTTCAGTCCTGCTTTTTTCATAAATTGTATATATATGCCTTTTCGTCAGATAGGTTGTCTCTGCAGTTCTTCCACGATGATTCGCCGAGCCGGCGACGCTTCGTGCCGATACACTCACTCAGGCGCATATCCTCCCTCTATCTCGCACGATTTATCTCTGTCCCTCCTCGGAAAAGCTACATAGAGCTAAGCGGCGGAGGATCGATAAATAGAATCGCCTATCGCACGCTACAACTGTCAGAAAGAAATACAATCCGCCGAGGCGCACGCTATGCCTCCTCCCGCTGTTGGCTTCGACTTGGAAACGCACGCACGTTGATTTCCGTTTAATTCTCGCGTCTCCCCCGCGTGTCCCCGTTAGATCGAGGGAGAACGGGCAAGAAAGGAGAACATTGAATCGTGCGGCGTCCGGTGAAGAAGCGGATGATCCGAGATCGAAGGTCAAATCGAATTTCTGGATCCTAAAAAATTGTCAAAAGATCGGGTAGACAGATTCGAGGATGTGTGTCTGTTAAAAATATGTCTCTCACACCTTTTTCATATATCTCATATATCTCTCTTTTTAGGAGGATCATTTATCGTTCCGGCTGCCGGAAAACCGAAGACCGCCATCGCGGTGCTCATCGGTGCACGACGACAGGTGTGCGTGACACGAGGGGAACAACCATGAACGTTACCACGAACGACCTTCCGGTGCGGCGATGCAGCACGACGTGCCTCGCGTGACTCGCGCCGGTCACGAGTAAAGAGAATCCTCCCTCGCCACCACCTCCCTCGCGTGAGTACCGCGGCGGTGGCCACCACTAACGGTGCAACGCGCTGGCCCGTCTCTCCTATTCAGCCCTCCGCGTCCGCGGGGCACAATCCTTACGACGAGGACACGCACACCAGGGTGGCACGATAGTATGACGGTGATGCTGCTGCAACGTTCAGTCACCCCGCAGTCGACGCACAGCCAAAAGACAGCGACGAAGGACTGCAGCGCGAAGCCGCCCTTTCTCTTTCTGCTGGACGACCGTGAGGAGCATCGGAACTCGACCGATACCAACACCACGACCACTACAAACAACAACAACAACAACAATAACAACATTAACAACAATAATAACATTAATAATAACAATAACAACAACAATAACGTCAACAATAACAACGTCTTCAAGAGAGACGCCCGGAGGAACGACAGCCGCGATCACGTCGCCGACGAGGCGCCGTCGTCGGTGACGTCCCAACGACTCACCGGCGGTGGTCGGGACATCGCGATGCGATATTACCGCCTCTGGATCTACGCCTGTAACTTGGTGCTGTTCGGTAGCGCGATCGGTTTCGTCGCCGCGGTGTCGCAGACCCTCCTGTTCACCGGTGATCCACGTCGGCACGTGGTGCCGGGTGTACCCCGCGTCTACGACCCCACCGCGCTCTACGGCTATCTGGCATTGACGGCACAGTTAGGCCTGGTGCAGCTGCTCGGTTGCATCGCTGCCAGGCGGCTCAGCGCTCGGCTGCTCCACATCTACTGGATATTATTGCTGATACTGCTGTTCGGCGACGCCGTGGTCGGCGTCGCCTGGATCTTCCGCTTCGAGAAAATGCGCGCCGACCTCAGGCCCACGCTCAAGCTACGTTTGCAGGTGCGCTATCGGTAGCCTTCCCAATTAGTTCAATAGAGCTTCTGGTCCGTTTAGAGGCGTATTGCATTACGTCAGAAAAACCAATGAGCTTTTTCTCTCGTCCTGCGTATCGAAATAGACTATAGTTCCTCGCGCGTTGAAGTAATCGTATTCGATAGGATAGGTTTATGAGATGTGTTGAAAACTCTTTTTGGTTCGTGGACTATATATCTGTAAACATATATCTGTAAATTGTATAGCGCAACAGAAGAATTCATATGACTTTTTACTTCTTCGACCAAAAGACAAAGAGCCACTTTCCGCTTTCAATAGGTTTAACGCACACTGTACTGTGCCTCTAAGTGACGATCTCTTGCTCACAGATGGACTACAATAAAGAGCCGCGATTCACCGAACAGTGGGATCGACTTCAGCGGGAGTTCATGTGCTGCGCGGTGACCGGGCCCAAGGATTTTGGACCCAACTTTTCGTCGACTTGCTGCGGAGCCAGCATAAACGCAACCGAGCCCTGTCAGCATCCGTACACGCGCGGTTGCGAAGAGACGCTCGTACGTTGGCTTAGGAAAACGGCGGATCTGCTGTTCGTCCTGGGTTTCTGCGTAATCGCCTTCGCCAAGCTCTGCTTCCTCGGTATCCTACGCTACGAGATACGGGAGATGATACAGAAGATACGATTGCTGAGAGAACCGCCGCCGCCGCCCACGCAATTCGCGCAACCGCCCTTTTCCCAGATGATGCCGGAAATGACCAACAACAACGGCAGCATCACGAGACGCACAACGTTGCCCAACACGGTTACGGTTTCCGGTACGTTCCAGTAACTCCCGCTTATGAAAATACCTAAGAATCCAATATCGTCGATCAGTCCAAACTAGATAACGTCGGAATCCAGATTCTAATTCCGTCATTAGCGTTGTAGAATGAAGTTTCTATCATATAGCAGTGATTTTAAGTAATGATTAACTACTTGAATATACGTATGTTAATTGTCACTTTTTTTACCTGTGTATTCGAGTATCATATCGACAGGCCAAAGGTGGAAGATTAATGACAATCTCAATCGAGATACCTAGCAGATAGGATTCGATATCTTTTTAGAGGAAGAGAGGCAAGGACACTTATCCGTCATCCCCATTTTCAGGCAACGCGTCGCTGTTGCCGCAGTTGGACGAGTGCAATACCGGCCGGTATCCGATGTTGCCGAACAATCTACAGGACGGCGGTGCCGACAGCGACACGAACAGTCACTGCGCGCTGATCCTCGAGGAGACGACGCCCATCTCGATGAACAACCACAACAGCTGCGCGGCCGGCGGCGGCCGTGAGAAGAGCAACGGCAACAACAACTACGAGATGCGTGAGTTTAACCGTAGGCTGCTGCTGTCGAACGGCACCAGCCCGGGTGCGGGCGTGACCGTAACGGGCGGTCAAAGCAGGCGCACCTGACTATGGAGATGGTGGCGAAACACCTCGAACCGTTTCCTGTACAGGAGCAATCGCCGGCGCGCCGATATACCGCTATACAAGTAAAGGAACGACAACCCTCTGTCCAGACGTTTCAGTTTCTTTTTTTTAAGAGGAATAGCATACACACATCCGGCGAGCTACTGGCAGGCGCTAGTCCAACAGACGGGCGCGATATACGTGAGGAAACGCTGCCGTCGTCATCGTCGTCGTCGACGTCGCATCGAGACCGGCGGAAGTGAAGGGGGTTGACAACCGCTGTTCAGCTCGTCTTCTATAGCTCACCCCTACCTCTCACCCCCCGAGGTCTCTTACCGCCGATTCGCGATAGTGCGCGCTTGACATCGAGAAAAGACCACGACGACGGGCAGCGTTCGACGGTGAGACACGCGAGAGACCAAGCATTCACGAATCGATATCACGGTGGGACTGTACAATTTATTAACGAAAGAACCAAATCAAAACATATACAATTAAAGCGAGAAAGAGAAACAAAAAAAGCTCCGTTTTGTACGAAACTTGCGAAGGGGCGCTTAAGTTTGCACATCAGATCGTGGCACGAGAGCGAAATCTCGCGCGATCCGGGGATGAAAAAAAAAAAAACGATAGAAAGCGCGATTCGAGGCTGGAACGTCGTTGCCCTATGATTCCTTAAAACGAGCGGCGAGCAACTCACACCCCGCGTGAAAGACAGTTCGAAGAAACCATTCTATTTACGGCCTGTACTCTCGTGGTCGTGTGCTAATTTCGTCATCGTCGACGTCAACCTATAGAGGGTAGGTGCACGCTAATTTTAAATGACCGTTAGAAACCACTTTCTTTAGTCTCCTGACTTTTACAGAATTAATCCGTCGCTTTTCCACGTGAACTTTCGCTGTTTGTACGCGCGCGCGCATGCCTAGCTGTGCGGGTTGCTCATATTAACCGCCCCGGGCTCTCCTCGCAAACGTACACCTTAACATACATGCCTTTTCCGTCCTCGCACGGCCGGTGTATCGCATAACTACTTTTGCAGATTTATTTTTAACTGTAAAACTTTCTTGCGTTACCCACATCCAAATAAAGCCGTCATCGATCGTGTCATCAGCGTATTACGGGGATATCGTCGTGCCGTTTCTCATATCTTAAACGAAGATAACGTTCAATTCAACGCCCGGTAGTATGTCACAGTCGAGGGTAACTATCGTCGCCTATAAATGACACACGAAGCTCTTGTTCCCGTTGGATTGTCTCTGGACCCGACAATTCTCTGTCGAGTTAATTAAAGACTCGCGAGCTAGTAATCGGATATATACTTCGTGGATCGCGTTTCTGCCTGGCGAAGCGTTATCTTGACGGTACAGAGAGATCCATTTTCTTTCCTTTCTGTTTTAATAATGCAAAGATTTTTCTCTTTCTTTCAAAGATCTTGTAGATATATTCTTTTCATTTTTCGAAATCGCACATTATGTGCGTCTGGATATTATTAGATATATTAATCGACATTTTTGCAACCACCAGAAGAACAGTTACGATTCAAGACTTGTTAACAAACTTCTGTCTGACTTGAGGAAACTTGAGGCTATATTTCTTCACGCGCGACTTCACGTGTTTGGTTCTCTTAATAATGCAGACAACCTGTGTATCCGTTCAGACAAGCGAACTGTGTACGCTTCACGGAAACATTACCGTCTAACCAACCATCGAATTTCACGACACTCATGAAGTTCTCTAACGATCCTTAGACCTTTAGATATAATTACGATAGTTACAGGAGAATATTGTGAGATACTACTGCCAAATTGATCCTCCTCTTCTCCAACAAAATGAATGTGCGTCTAGACACCCTTGAGCAACGAGGGTTCCCCTAGTCCCCTCGCTAATAATACAATAGAGAACAAAAGAAGCGGATGAGAGGGAAAAAGAGATTTCCGATGTAGGCGACGATTAAACGATTCCTAATCGTTTTTACATATACATCTAAAAGAAATACGCGTCACGCAAGTAGCTCTCGTACCGTTACCTTTCCTGTAACTGGACCATCACTGTTGGACTAAAATAAGCGCCGAACCGGAGTTATTTCATTCGGTGCTTTAACCTGTTTTCTCTTTTATTTTTTCACACGCCTCATACGCCTCTCCGGTGTCTCAATAATGGAGATCCGTGATGTGAGCGACAAAGACATAGCGTAACACTCGAAATAACTGGCTTCCTAGCTAGGATTAAAGGAATCTTAGGGTTATACATTTAATGGGGATGCAATGATAAACGGATACAAATACCATAGTAGGCTGTATATACCGGCATATGATAGATAATAAGTGTGTCGATCGTCTGCTTAAGGAGAAACCGAGATATTATCTGTTAATTGTTCGAACGCACGTCTCCGCCGATGTTATAAAATGGGACGCTTTTACGTTGATCCTATCTGTCGCAGTTGAATTTACGTGTTACGAAATCTGGCGTTTCACATGTTCACGTATAATTACACTAGTCTGGAAAACAGGGTAATTATTAATCTCGAGCAGCGCCTGATCATTCTTGGGCCATTATTAGCGAAGTAGAATATTTGTGCGTTGTCGCCAAACAAGATAATTGACTCCTTTCATTCTCCCTAGAGTAAAAAGAGACTTTTTTTTACCGACAACGCGCAAGTCCCATCATTCTTAATCAGACCATCGAATTATTGTTGAATGTAATAATAATGTGAAAGCTTACACCTCGCAGACACACAGCCTCTGCCACTAAATGTATATAAAGATGTTATATACAGAAGATAGAGAGAGACTAACCGTTTTTTAATTAATTAGTCGAAAGAAAATACGTTCGGAAAGAAAAAAAAAAGACATACTATGAAACTATATCACACTCCGGAGACACGAGATATCTGATTTCGCTTCGGTTGTCGTATTAATGTACCATCTACTAGAAAGAAAAGACGAGCGAAGTATTTTAGGCGTTTATATTTTATTCGGGCGATATTTCCTAATGTTATATACAACCACACTGCAAGAAAGACTTCAAAGTTCAAACGAGCGTAGCGATTTGTAACGGATCGGTATCTAAATGTAATATACAAACTGAAGTGGAAGACGGGGAGCTTTGAATAGTGCCTGCTTAAAACCCAATTTATTATATATCTTAAACTAGGTATGGTCGAACAATTAGCCGTTTGCGACATTGCACGGATCCGAATCCGGCAGATCGGTCAACAGGAGATGGCAGTCTCACAAAAGTGCGATTTTTCTTTGACCAAGGCAAAAGAGAAGTAGATACGAGTTTACACATCCCCCATCATCTTTTCTATCGGTTAATACTATTTAAATAGGAGATCTATCTAAATATTATCGTATGTTAACGAAGATATCTGACGATCAAAGATACGTCCGTACAAATGACATAAAGATCGATTTCCCACTTAACCGCGCTCCTTGACCAATCGATCCGCTTCCGCCACGTGTGCGATGTCGCAAACGAGATGTTTCATAGAGTGATCGTAGCGCGAATACCGAAAGAAGAGTATGCACATTTAAAAAGCTTTGAATACCTTAATATTGTATAAAGACGACGTACACGTGATAAAAAGAAAAAAAAACGAGTGTATCTGAAGACTGTTAGCAAAGAAGGGCGAACGCGAGATAATTGACACGTAGTTACAAGCTACAATCGAGCTCAATAGCGCGTTTACGTTGGTGAACCTTTCATAATATCGTATCAACAAGCTTGCGTCTGTATTTAATTTACGTTACGAGGATACGGCGCCGGTTGCGACGGCCGTACTTCATAGGTTTGCTATTCTATAAAGCGTTTGTTAACATACAACACCATACTCTTCCCCTATTCTACGCGAGATTTCCCATTATTTGATATTATTAAATGTACATAAGAAAGAAAAAAAAGGTGGTAATTGTATATATAAATACTGTTACTGTTCTACAAACTATATTATGTAATATGAATATATAAGGAAAAAATTGGTTATTTAGTATAACTTTGATTGTGAGATTTTTGACTTACGTTTATTTCGGGCTCCTTCACTTGCAGTACAGTGTCCAGAACTGACCCGCCAATCACTATCTGCATAAGACGATCGGTATAAGTATACTTCAAGTAGAGATAACGGAATGACTTATTTAACTGTCAGCCTTGAATGTTACGATAAGGCTTGTTAGATATAAAGTAACTTCTCAACGTCGCCTCTGTGCGTTTCTAGTTTATTTTTAAGGACAATTTTACGTTGTTTTCAGGCTTACCGGTTTTTGCCTTGATATTATCGATCGTACAGAAGCAGATCTTACACGGGCTGTTTGAGATCTTTCGCAGAGATTCGTGGCAATTTCGGCCGCAACCTTGGCGTTATTTTCTATTAGAGCTATATCTGCAAAATCATCGATAAGGCGTCTTAAACATAACAATTACATTTTAGGTACCGCATTTTACGTTGCACTCCGTCAGTCTCTATTTACTCACTCGCTTCGAGAGATTGACCGCGCGTGATCTTGTTGAGTTCGTTTAGAAGGAATGGCGTAACTTGCTTGCCCGTTACGCGCATAGCGTTTGCTTTCGTTAAAGCCTCAGATATAGCGGCATCCACAACGCCAGGTTCCAACGCATACTTTTCCGGGATAGAGACTGCAAATAATATCCCCGTGCCGATGCCCAGTACTCCCTGCGTCTCCACAATACCAGCTGCCTCCTTGGCGTTGGAGACTCTGCACGGCGCTTTTATTTTATTCGAGGTCTCGGAACAGTAGAAAGCTGGAAATTCTGGCGTGTCGCCTATTTTTATGACCGGCACTCCCTGAGTTTCCTGCGAGCATAAAAACGAGTATTTCTATGTCAATTTCTGGAAACAGAGCGGACGTTAATAAGTTTTGTATGAGTCACAAATTTATATTCATGCACCTACCAAGTACTCCAAGGTCTTGCCAATATCCAGGATAGATTTGACGCCGGAGCAGACAACTGCCACCGGGGTGCGTCCAAGCTCGATCAGGTCCGCGCTGATGTCGAGAGTCAGCTCAGCTCCCCTGTGAACACCGCCGATGCCGCCTGTTGCCATTATCGGAATACCAGCTGCGTGTGCGATTAACATCGTCCCACTGACTGTTGTACCACCGTTCAATCCGTGCGACAGAATGAAAGAAATATCCCTGCGCGAACATTTCATAGTCCTTGCAGAGTCAGCTTTGGATAAGGTCTCCAATTGCTCGTTGTTCAAGCCTACGTATATTTTGCCATCTATAATTCCTATCGTTGCAGGTACGACACCCTGAAATTTCAACAAAACAATAAGTCGATTAGCGTTAACGCTATCCGTCCAATCGTGACGGATTAATTTTCAATGCTACATTTTTAATATCAACTTGTAAAATTCTCCGACGATAATTCAAGCAACGCACATTCGTTTTATCGATAGACAATTAAAACCTTTTGATTGTACAGGAGCTTGCATATATTTCTTGCACATTACTTTCGAGCCTAGGAAGAGAAGGGAGAAAGAACGTCATCGGGGGTGCTATACAAACTTGCTTTCTGATCGCATCTTCGACCTTCAGCGCGGTGCTCAAGTTATCGGGGTACGGCATGCCGTGCGTGATGATCGTCGATTCCAGGGCCACGATGGGTAGTCCGTGTTTCTGGGCGGCCGCGACGTCGGGTCCGTAGGCGAGCGCGTGCAGCGTGCGCCGGCCGGCGATCGATCTCCGATGGATCGCCGGCACGACGTTGGATCTCCTCCATAGTTTTGCCGCGAGATCGCACGAACGGGCTCGGTGCATGTTCCGCGAGACGAGAGAACGCGAGAATGGACGAACGGATGATACAGAATACTTCCGACTTGTCTCTTAACTTTCAGATAAGACGGAGGAAGTGATCGCGATAACCAAATGTAATCCGAAACGAATTGAGATAAACGGCATCGATCGAGCGCGAGTGCCGACGCGTAGCGAGCGAACAGTATTTTGTTTCATCGTTTTTATTACTGCGCTGTCGGCGCTGTTCGACGGCGTCGCGTTATGATGTATGAATTTTCCATACGACGAGATCGATAAAAATTCGTCGGTGTCGATCTTCCGCTCTCGATTGCATGACGCATCATCCAGCATCCAGCATCATCACGCATTATTGACAGCTATAGCGCCTATAGCTGGTCTGCTCCTTGCAGCTGCACCGCGGTATACCTTCTGCGCTTAAAATGAAATGGCTGTAGGGGTACGACGTTGGGAGAGAAAAAGAGGGAAGACGTAAAAAGCCCCCGTATTCCGAACGCACTTTTATCGATAAATGCGCGCGTTTATCGATAAAAATGCGTTCGGGATACGACCCAAAGTGCACGAAAGATTCAAAGACCGAACTTCCTGCAAACGTCACGTTGTTCTACGTGTGACCACGTGTGACATCGCGTGAAGTTGCTCAAGGTTGAGGTGGTCGTGGGTCGAGCGCGCGTGCGCGCACGTCTAGACATCGCGAGAGATCGCGAATAATCGCAATGCAAAATTCGCGCCCCGCGGACGCGGATTCGGATTCGGCTCCGACGATCATGGTACGGCATTTTTGTCTCGTGGAGAATTGAACGTTAGGTTAGAAAATGAGCGACAAGCGAGAACGACAACACGTGAGCGGAAAATGTTGACATGGCTGTTCGATTTAAGGCGCAGCGAGCAGAATTGCGCTTACACGTACGTCGAACGTGTCACCCTTTGCGAGTCTCCCTGCATTTTCCTTCTCCAGCGATTGGCTAGAGTCGTTCGACCGCTGGAAGCTGGAGGAGAGGGAGAGGCTCGGCGCTGTACTTACGGTAAGTTCAATCTCGCTAAGCTAAAACAAAATAGCATTTTTGCTTTTAAAATAACTTGCGCAGTATTGAATTAATTATCGAATAAACAATTTCGAACTTTTTTAACCAACAGTGTTTTATGATGCACGGACACCAGACATGTACGATGAACTCACCGACCTCTCAAGTACGCTTCCAATGCGCATAACTTCATGCGGAAACGGTGATTGATAGAAAATAATTTTTATTGTTATTTAACATATTTACTTCTTAATTTTTTGTTATTTAACACATGGAAGAAAAGATTGGATTAGGGATAACGAATTGATAGTTAGAAATGTTGCTTTAATGGTTCTACCTTAGTTGAATTATATTAACAATCACCAATTAAGTTAATCGAAGTTCGATCGAAGTCGCTCTAAATTAATTTTGTTGACAAAAATTTTGTGCGACTAGCATTGAAACAAACAACATAGCAACTGTCACGATAATATTATTTGTTTATTATTCTACAAATACACTTTATTAATGATCTTTGAAACGTGACTCTTAAATATCTACTACTGTATGAGCATAGAAAATAATATTGATTTAATAATAAGTATTCGTTCGACCCTCGTGATCTCATAATTCTCGGGAAGAAAGATAAATACAAGAAAAATAAGTAGCATATCTAGCGAAAAGGAAAATAAATTTCAACGATCGTAGCCACCGCGAAGAATAAATATCATCGGCGAATATTAATATATGCTAATCCATTTATGCAGATATCTCATCCGAACTGCGCATGCTGATAATCCATTATTTACATATTGCGACGATCCTATCGATTTGACGTCAATTTTTGGGAGAAGCGGATTTTGCACATGGATATCGACATATTTCCCAATATGGTTTCCACGTAACTGGAGTAGGGCACGATTGGAGATGACCGACGCTTCTCGGAACGGCGACGAAACTCGGATCGACTACGACAAAATTGCTGCAGTTTTTTTTTTTTATAGTTTCCTCTCGACCTTCTCGCCGAGATTATCAACGACGTTATGGATGTTAATGTTAACACATTGCATGACGAGACATCTCGCATTTCTTATTTATCAATCAAGAGCAGTTATTATTCGGTAACATAGCAGTGATTTTTAACTGCGAACAAATCTTAAGTAACTTAAAAATATTTGACGTAAAAAAGTAGCTGGTTATTGATTAACAATAAGATGTCTGGTTCGCAATATGATAAACTCGCCCCTCTTCGCCGTCGACGATGTCATAACAAGATCATCGGGTCAATCGGGTCTAGATAGAGAAGTTTTCGATGCGTATAAGATGGGACCGACAGAGTTGAGTTCAAAAGCGCGAGGGAGAGGACGTGTGATTTTCGGACGCGATATTTATTCGTTCATATATATCAATTAACGCTGTCGTACGGCACGTAGTACAACGCCGATAGTCTTGCTCCAAAGTAATCTTGCTCCAGGAGAGATATGTCCACGCTCAAGGAACAGCTTTCCCACATGCCGAGTGACGATAAGTATTCGTTCAGTAGACCGATGAGAGACAGGGAATCGCGTAGCGCGAGGGATGTACGCGTGAATATCAGCGAAAATGACAAAAGGTACCTAAGGTAGTTCTTTCCATCGTTCTTCTCCGGACGCCTTATTAGTTAAATATAAGCGAACAAAGCGTAAGCGATGAAAGTGATGAATATATGACAAAGAAAATATTGTAGTAAGAATTACAACAGGATTTCCATTATCCTGGCGAGAGTATTATTTGAATTTTTAATGTACAATTTGTCGATCAAAAATTCAGCGCTCAGTTTTGCTTTTGTACAAATTATTACGTTTTATTTTGTCCGCCGGGAGTATAATTACGATATCAATACGATAAATTTAGACGCGACGAAAAATAGACCGATTACGCTTTAAATTTAAAACCCGCTTTAGACGACCTAATAATTTGTGTCAGAATACAAGACAGAATTCTATTTATAATTTTATATGCCTTGTACGAAAAAAACATTTAGAGAATCAAGAATACACACATGTGTTATAAATATTAAGATGCGAGCATATGTATCAAAATACACAGCGTGTAAAATTTATAAATGGAATTCTGTCTCGGAATCTGACGCGAATTATAGAACGTCTAAAATGGGCTTAACAATAAGTATCGTTATATATAAATTGTCCCCGTAACGTGGTTTAAAATACCTGTAACTTTTCACAATGCGCATCATAATTTTTACCAACGTGATTAGCTAAAATCAATAGTTCATTGTAAATATTACAATTTAAATTCTTACAACATTACGTTCCACGTTACAACAAAATGTGTAAAGGAATATGAAGCATCTTATATAATATTTTCTCTGTGTATGAATAAGTCGGAAGGGGGGTAGGAGACTTGTGAACGAATGAAAAAATCTAAACGGCAAATAACTTCAGAGGGAATTCGCGTTTAGGGGCGAGTACGAATTAGGCGCTTGCGGTTACGGCAAGAACAATGTCAAGTTGTTGTATGTGCGTCGGAGCGACGAGTTGCGACACGAGATTCGCGAGTACGAGGTCGACACGCACCTGCGCCTGAGCTCTCAGAGGGATTATCTCGAGGGTGACAATCGGGACATCATCGCGACGGATAGCCAGAAGAACACGGTGTACCTGATGGCGAAGAAACACGGCATCCACTCGCCCGAGGCGTTCGCGCTTCTCCTCTGCTCGCATTTCCTCTACATGTACGAGCAAGTGGCGGAAGTCAGTATCAACGTCGAGGAGTACCCGTGGGCGAGGTACCAGGTTGACAACCGGCCGCACAATCACGCCTTCATTATGTGCCCCACCGCGACGAGATTCTGCCAAGTCAGTCAGCTCAGAAACGGTACGGCTCGAGAAAGAGATGATTGCTCGCGCGCGATTCTGTGTCACGTAGCTCGCCGAGATTGATTCGGAAAGTGGAAAGACGACACGTTAAAAATGTATAGCTCGCGTTGATTAGATAAAAAATAGAAAATATATTTTGACAATGAGATAATCATAAAATTTATTTCAGAGTTCAAGTAAATTTACTATAATTAGTAGAATTAACTTATTTCCATTCCCGGCTGGCGTGACCTTTTTATATCGCTCTTGCAAGAAAGTAAACAAGTAGGATTACGCGTAAAATATTTATGAGTTTTCTTATCTTTCTGATATCTCTTTTACTTAAAATATTACTTCTCGCGCTATTCAAATATATGCTAACGCAATACATTTTAAATTAAAATGTAAAATTTTTAATATACATATTTGCCGGAAGCATATATATTTGGCGTTCTATTTTGAAAAGAAAATTTCATAAAGCTTATTATAATACATTAGAAAGATTGAAGTTATTTGAACGAACAGAAAAAAATAGCCCGTTAATTTATTTTGGAATTTAACTCGATTCTAGAATCACCACGAATACGCGGTGGATTAAAGGAGCTGCGAGTATTGAAAACCACGCAAAGCTCGTTTACGGATTTTATTCAGGATGAGTACAGGACGTTGCCGGACATGAACGATCGTATTTTCAGCACCGTCGTAACGGCGACCTGGGACTTCTCCACCGCGACCGGGGTGGATTTCGACCGCGTGTGGGACATGGTAAAGGAATGCATTATGCAAAATTTCGCGGGTCCACCGGACACGGGAATCTATTCGCCCAGTGTGCAGAATACGCTTTATCTCACAGAAAAGTGCATACTTAATAAAGTCAAGCAAGTTAGTATAATAACATGTAATTATTAAGGCCCCCGCACAATGAAAAATGTAAAGAACGAGGAACAGATATTAGCGATTAGAACTAAGGAATCAGGAATAAAACTGGATGCACAATGAAAAACACAGACAACAGAAATAGGAAATAACACAGGCAATAAATTTTTGACCTATCAGAAGCCGTGTATTAATGCTACACCATTCCTCAGTCTTAATCGCTAATATCTGCTCCTTGTTCCTTATATTTTTCATTGTGCGGGAGCTCTTACAAAACAACAGTCTACTATTTTAATTTTTTTTTGCCAAGAAGATCTTGATATAATTTAATATTAAATTAATCAATTAAATAATTAAATATCTGGAAACTAATTTAATATTATTAAATTATTTTATCTTACTTATTACGTGTACACTACGCGGGAATGAAATATTTGCAGATTCGTAGCATCGAGATGCAAATGCCGAACAAGCATTACTTCGATCTGGATTTCAGCAAATTCTCCAAAGTCATACAAGGACAGAACAAGGAAGTTTATCTGCCTATGGATAAGCCATCGGGTATTATTTACGCTCGATTAAACAGAAAGGATTTCTCTCCCAAATTGTAGATATTATTAAGTTAGTAATAAAGTTTGAGTTTTAATAATTAATCTTACGTATAACTACGAAATCTCTCAAATATCTAAAGCCCATTTTAAACGATCTACAACTCGCGCTAGATTTCAGGATAGAATTCTATAATTTTTATACATTATATAATTTCATATATGTGTACATGTATATATTTTTTATTCTGATTCTCCAAATGTTTCTCATAATCGTGGCACGTGAAATTACAAACAGAATCATATTCCGATTCGGAATTCCGACGAGAATGGATCGTGTAAAGTAGACTCTAACGGTATCACGGGGAATGTGAGACAAAAAACGCTCGAGTTGCAAAAGAACATCTTTTAATAGAGTTATCAGGTTACGAAAAATTTCGCGTCAAAAGAATTCACCCCTAAAATAGATTACAATTTATATAGGCAGATATGTTCTCGTCGGCTGTGGACCTGTACGACGCGCCTCCGGCGTGGTGGGAAACGGACTGCGTAAGATACGGGTGGGTTGAAGCCTCGTCGGCCGGCTTGCTCGAGAGTAACCTCTTAATTAATCGACACAGGATCAGTTATACACCCGTGAGATCGCGACTGACGTCGCTGATGGGAAGTCACGTAGTGCGATTGACAGATCGCGGATACATGACGCGGCTCTCGTCGAGGCTGCAGGAAGATTACGAGGTGCGGCAAAGAGCTCGAATCGAACGAAGGAAATTGCGGGCCACCTCGGTCGTACCGGAACTGCGTGAATTACTGCCCGAATCGTTGCTGAAAACGACTCGGCGACGTCGTCCGTGCGCCCCAAAATTTCACGCGGGCGCGGCTAAGCTGTGTAAACAACTTCCGCAGCTGTTACTCGCGGATGACCCAAAGCTCCACGTCGGAATTCTAAACGCGTGATTATTTCACATTTATTTTGCGCCGCTTTAGGCGAGCGAGATCTAGATGTGATCCAACAGAATTTAGATGTCAAGAAACATCTTTCGGGATGTCTGTTATTCGCGCAATAAATAACAAGCCATCTAAGTGAAACTTATATCAGACTAAGCGCTTGGAGAGACTAATCGTAAGCTTTCAATTAGCTAAACTAAAGCTAAACGAATGATTTGATGTAGCATTCGGTGACCAATTTTAATCACAATTAGTTAGTTTCAGCGTAGCCTTAAGTCGTCACCGTCTCCGACCTTCTCTGTCGCGATTTCTTCAACGGCAAATGGAACATGAGCTGCCGGTTGATGGGGATCCGCATCAGTATTCCCCTGGAGTTACGATCGATCGTATCGTGGGCGTCATCGGTGCCTGCAAAAGAAAAAGATCGCTATTTTTAATCGCTCGAGATCGCCCAGCTCCGCCTCTTACTCGTTCCGGTCGACGAACGAACGATTGATTTTTCCGTCGCGCGGAATTATCCGAACTCACCTAGAATCTCGTCGCTCCAGAGGTCATCCCATGGATCCGGCTCGGACAGGTGTTGAAAGCCCGACGAAAAGATTAGCGAGGGATCGGGCGCGTATTTGTAGCGGAGGTCCGACCATCCGAACGACGCGAGAGTGTCGCTGGAAAATAAAAAGAACACTCATGGGTAGCGCCAGTCATGCGTGATATTAATATAACATTTGCAAATAGAGCTGAAGGATCTCGGCGGCGCGAGATTACGAGTTTTCTCGCGCGTGCTCGAGATACGATAACTAAACTGAACTTGGAGTATCACTTTCCCTCGAGCGCGATGACTTATTGTTTCTATCCAGATTAGTTTTTTTTATCAGGTGCAATCTCGAGTCGCGAAACGAGTTTAATCCTTTTTACTCGAAAAACTGGAATGTACCTGTAAAGTTCGTCGAGATAGTATTTATCCGGAGCTCTCGTCCATGCTAATGGATGGAAAGGCATCGCCGGCATTGGAAGATAGTGTATGTGATAATGCTGCACGTGATTCGTCTTGGTCTTCTTCTCCTTCAGAGATTGAAAGAATTCCTTCAGTGCTTTCTTAGGGCTGCAACGTAAGAGGTATTAATAAATGATGAAAGACGTAAAAGTAAAAAGTAGATATAAAATGACACGCTTGTCATCGTCCCAATCGAGAGAGAGAGAGAGAGAGAGAGAGAGATTCATCAAGAAGGCTTTTTAAAAATTGAGCCGCTTCGGAGCGGGGCTAGGGTGATAAAAGCTTATTACTCAGACAATCGCGAGTCTACTCGCTTGAACTCAGTTTAGAATTCGATTACCGAAGGATGTAAAAAATTGTGAAAAAAATAGCATCGACCTTTCGGTCGAATAAAAATAACTCAAAATAAAAAAATTCACAAGGAGTTCAGATTGATTTGGAACATTCTGTATAAGACCAAATAACTCTTTTCGAGTCTTAATAGTCCCGATACTGAAAAAAATAATGAAAAACGCACTCACTAGTCTAAAAAAAATTCTTCCGAGGGTCCGACTAGTAGCATCACGGGCAGCGCCAACTGCAAATTACCACAATGATTAATTTTTTACTTTCCCTTTCGATTTTTCTTTTTTCTAAATTTTATTCTCTCGTTCATGCATATTTAATAATTTATCGGCGACCTCGAGAAACACATGCCGACTAACTTGACTCGCGCGCGCGTTGAATTATACTAAATTATTTATTAGCAGGATTAGCAGGTCACAGAGAGCACAAGTTGTCGAAGCACTTCCTCCGCGCAACGAAGAACTGTCGACTGAGATTCAAAATTTACGAGATCTATACGGCCGTTTAGATATCTATAACTGGTCGGTCATTTACTTGCAACACCAGCCCGGTCTTCATGCTGCAGCACCAACTGGAAGATCGGTCGCTTCGCTACGATTCGCAGTGATATCTGCGATATACGATAAACTGAGAATTTCGACGAAACTGGATCGCTTTATAGCTGCGCTCTTACCCTCTTTCTCTCCACGCGCTCATACTTTTCATTTTTCCCTCGGCCGTGGTTCATCAGGCTGTCGGCCGAAGCCGACTTTACGTCTCCTGAGAAGCATGTGTCGCCGCATTGTCATAATTGCCTTCTCGCGGCTATAATAGTCTGGGAGGCGTTGCCGTGTGACACATTTATTACATTGTACGCATCATTACGAATTGTTGAATAGCGTTTGAATGTAAATAGGTGTAAAAACATTTTCTTATTAGAAAGAAAGTAAGAAGAATAGAATTTTCATTTCTATCGCCGTTGTGTGCGAATTGTTCTCATCATTTATTTATATCGAGTAATTTTAACTTTTTCTCGTCGCTTTATTTATATCGAGACATTTTAACTTTTCCTTCTCTAAGAAAGGAGAGGTTCGAATCAATTCGAAAGGTTCCCAAAGTATTCCCAAATAATAAGTTTGCTTTTAAAATTCTTTTGTTTAACCACTGGAAGGTTCCTTTCGAATTTGTCACATGTTTTGGATCACTTTTACACGACGATAAATAACGTCAGCTTGCTATCTGGGAAATTGAAGAATTTCAAAGCAAACGGTGAGAAACATTTGTCCATAATAAGGGTAACAATAAATGTATCACTACTTTACTTTCTAATGAACTATACCGAGAGAACTTTTACGTCTATTTAATCTTTCCTACGAGCTGATGTAGTGCGGATCTTACATTTATACGCTGACAATCTTTTATATCTATTTAAGACCTGTCTTTTTGCCGTGACCACATGCAGTAAATCGTAAACGTCGGAGACGAGAAATCACATAAATATTTCTCTCGCAATGTATATCGAAGTAATTTCATGTTTTCATATGGCACCGCTCGCTTTCGATAATAGAAACTGATAAAATATGCCGGAAACTCCTCTTTTTTTCAATTATTTTACATGATTCAATCTGCATGTCCCAGTCAGTCGACCCCAGTGGTCGATTGGCGTGTCTTGTGTTTTCCAGCGAAAGTGGAAATACAAGTTCTTACGATAATCGCTAAAGATTAACAAGTTATCTCTGAGAATAGAATCCTAAGAGATATTATACGTCGATCTTTATTATTGAATATGCGCGACGCAAGAAATTAAAGCAAAGTCAATTTATGCGCTCCACGCACAATTAATGTAAAAAAATTAATCCACTTCGACGCATGTTGCAATAAAAAAAAATTGATTTTTGTGAGGAAGAGGGAATAAGAGGAGACAATACGAATGCGCTTGCGTCGCTTGAAATAAAAACAATACTAGTATGAGAATAACGTTTCCCGTAATCGACGATATGCAGTTTTTTGCTTCGTTCTCCGTGCTCTGCGTGAGCGAGTTTTATATAAATGCGAGAGACAAGATTCACTCTAATGGGTCGACTAACTGGAAATCAGCGCTTTACTAGTGCACAGGATGTATGTACTGTACCACATGCGAATCTAATCGCGAGGATTACGATATTATACCTCGCGGGCACCTTTCACATACGCGCATAAAACGGAAGATGAAGAAAGGTGAAACTGACATTGTCGGGGATGTCTTATCCGCGGCGCGACAGGTTCGTCGATAATTATCACATTTTCATGTACGTCATGCATATGTCGCGCTTAAATCCGCAATAGATATAAATATCAATAGCAGCGGTTTTCCATCGATTTCTTTCAAAATTCACTTTCTCCCTTACGGACGTCGCAAAAGGCGAAGAAGTTAAATTTCGTTTGATAACAATTTTTGCAAAAGAGATAAAACGATAAAAA